AATTCTAAAACACAAACTTCATGAGATAATGCACAATCAAACCCAATCCAGACAAGTATATAACACAGTAATACATAAATTCTTTGACAATTCTTTAATCAAATCAATTATTAATAATGTTTATCGCAACAAACACAAACCAACACAAATCAACAGACAATAATAATCCCACATACTAATTCCCACATACAAAATATCATATGCCCCATTATAGGATAAGAAACCTCACCATTACCTGGTTTGGTTTGAAGGCAACTCTATGGATCTCCGATTGAATCTCTTCATGTTCTTTTTCTCCTCTCAAAACCCTATTTCTCTTTCTCTTCTCTTTTTCCTGATAACACTCTATTCTCCTCTAATTCTATTTCTAATAAAATACTCTTATTTTAATTAATCCTAGTAAACTCAAATGAGTCTAAGTGACATACCCCCCTTAATACTTCACAATAACACAAATTAAGTCCAATAACATATTTAAGCTTAATAATAAAAATAATACCTCAACTTAATTCCACCAAATTAAATCTGATTATTTATCACACCACTAAAAAAAATTCCGACTTCGACGATAAAAATTCGAATTAATATAAAATGTTCAAAATAATATTTAATTAAATAATTATTAAATATCGAGGCGTTACAATACAAGTGTTTTCAGAAAAAACTAAGGTCACCATTGAATTCGCAAGGGTCAAATTAGGGGATAGGATCCCTTTTATGGTCTAAATCTTGCTATTTTTGCAGGTTGGAATTTGGACTCACCGGAGAAGACGACCGGAGCTAGGGCTCCGGCACCTCTATGGCATACATTTTATTATTTATTTAGTTATTTCTATTCTATGGCACAAAGGTAGAGCAATGCAGTTGGTTGGAGACTAAGGAATGCCACATGAGGGGCGTGAATTCGATCCCCGCGTCTTACAATTATTTTTTGTTATTTTTCCAAACTAACGTGCATGTTTATAATATATTGATTAATTCCTATTCTCAAACACAAACGGGCGCTTGGCCTAGTGGCAACAATTTAGTCTTGGAAATCAGGGGACGTGGGTTCAAAACCAACCCCATACAAATTCTTTTTACCCTATTTTTCTTTCTTTTTCTCAATTAATTATCTTTTTAATTAATCATTAACTAATCTAATCTTTTTTAAAACTATAGAAAAATAGGATTGGGGTTTCTAGTTAATAATAATTTTTGACATATTTTACTTATTAATTAATTAACTAATGAATTTTTCTAAATATTAAAATTAATTAGAAACAATTAGGTTTTAATTACTATTATCACTTAAATTATTTTCTATAAAATACCAAAAAAACATTAACATTTAGAACTTTTAGGTCTTTAAACATTTTTCTAATATCTTTGCTTATTTCTTTTACTATTTAATTTCTTCGACAAATTGTATAGGTCACATTATCAATGTAATAGCGTAGATTTATCTTTTTTCGTATTTTTTTTCTTCTAATTATGTAACTGCTCACAGGATGTAATAACTTAGGCTTAAACTTCCGCACTTTACATTCCACACTTTATTTTTCCTATACATTTTACTGCTAGTAATTAGGGTTTGTACGGAAAGATTAAAAACAAATCTAGAAAATCCCAATTCCCAAGATAAATAGCTGAAAACAAACACTCTTCACACTTGCACCTCTAGGGTAACATCTCTTGTTGCCTTAAGAATAATGGTCATGTCCCTCGAACATAGGAATACTTTAGCAAAAGACCTCGATCAAATCATCATAGTTCCTTTCTAATAAAGATCATAGTCCCTTGATAACCCTACATCAAAATGATGATAGTCCCTTTGATACAATTGCTAAAGTATCCTTACATGTTGTCTTCGGTGACCATACGATGACCCGACACATGTCCCTTCACATCCAACAGATAGAATTACCTACCAACTAATGGTATGGATATCTCTAAAGAAGAAGGAAAATAACAAGAAAAACCTTATTAGTGGGTAAGAACTCCTAATTGCTTTCTCACAACCTTTTCAAAACATTTTTCACATCACACTTTCAAAACAACAAATATTTTCAAAAATACTTTGTATACATTCTAGAGGACAGATACAATAATCATTACAAAGTTAGTCTTACATTAGCATTTAAATATTTTCAAACAAATCACACACAAAACAAGTTTTTAAAGTGAGCTAAGAAATTAAGAGTCCGCAAAACTACGAATAAAAAAGGGTGCTAACACCTTCATTTTTCATAACTTACTCCCGAGCTCAAAATCTATCAAAAATCTTTCCTGTTCTTTTCACATTTCTTAAATATTTGATAAAAGAAAAATCGGTGACGACTCTTCCTATCCGTATATTTGAATAAAACTAAAAAAAGTCAATTCTTCCACCGTATTACAAACATATATAAATTAACTAACATTTACTTTTAAGAAATTAAGTTACTATTTCAACAAATTTAAAAGCCAAATTATATCGCTCTTACAATTTTATGTATCAAATATTCCAATTTTTGATATCTCTAATGCCAAAATATCCTTCATTCGAAATTCAATTGAATGTTGTCTGGTTATTTGTTTCCTCGTAGTCCAAATGTACCTGATATAACCTTTTGTCAACTGTCATCTTAAAAAATCTTTTTTTGTTATCTTTGGGAGAGGTGAATTATGAAAGGAACAATAAATATTTATAATAAATTTAGCATTAATAGATAGATGGTCGACATATTTTTTAAGATCCATCCATCTATCTATTAAATAAATTAGTGGGATACTCGTGCGTTTACACGAGTATTGATATGATACACTCATTTGTTTTTAAAGTATATATTTTTTTATATAAATATTATTTTTGTTTTAGAATTATTGTCAAAATTTTGATCAGGAACTTTATGTTCCCGTTAATATTTAAAATTTTGATCAGTAATTTTATGTTCCCGTTAATATTCAATATTTTTATTAGTAACTTCATGTTTCCGTTAATATTTAATATTTTGATTAATAATTTAATATTTCCGTTAATATTCAATATTTTGATCAGTAATTTCATGTTCCCGTTATTATTCAATATTTTGATCAATAACTTCATGTTCCCGTTAATATTCAATAGTTTGATTAATAACTTCATATTCCCATTAATATTCAATATTTTAATCAGTAACTTCATGTTCTCGTTAATATTCAATATTTTGATATGTAATTTAATATTTTCGTTAATATTTAATATTTTGATCAGTAACTTCATTTTCCCGTTAATATTCAATAGATTGATCAATAACTTCATGTTTTCGTTTATTCAATATTTTAATTAGTAATTTCATTTTTCCGTTAATATTCAATATTTTGATCATTAATTTAATATTTTTGTTAACATTCAATATTTTGATCAGTAATTTCATGTTCCGGTTAATATTCAATAGTTTGATCAATAACTTCATGTTCTCGTTAATATTCAATATTTTAATTAGTAATTTTATGTTCCACATAGTATTCAATATTTTGATCAGTAACTTCATGTTCCGGTTAATATTCAATAGTTTGATCAATAACTTCATGTTCTCGTTAATATTCAATATTTTAATTAGTAATTTTATGTTCCACATAGTATTCAATAGTTTGATTAGTAACTTCATGTTCCCTTTAATATTCAATAGTTTGATCAATAACTTCATGTTCCCATTTGCAATATTCAATACGTTGTCGGTTTGTATCACTTCCGGTGTGCTTCCAAAAATATCAGTTGCAACTCCAATTTGTAAGAGGCTCCCTGATTCGTATACGCCGTCATGTATCAACCGCCCAAGCTCTTTCAAAGAGGCTACATGCTCTGTTATAGCTTTGGCAAAAATGCAGCCAAGATACTTCGGTGCTTATGGTGCATCCGTAACCATATCTTCCAAAGTACTTAGAACAATTTCAAACCTAGCAAAGATAAACATGTATATAGCTGACTATTATAATTGAGTTGGGCTTGACTTAAGGTACCACCATGAGATTTCACAAGGTCATATAGCTTCCTGAACTCCTCACCCAATTTTCTGCCGGCATTGCTGGTACTGGTCTTGATGTTGTGCTATCTGTGATCTGCAAGCTAGCTTGCAGAAGGGTCTCTTTTTGCGCATCCAAGGTCTTTAACACAGGGTTGGGTTTTTGGCTGGTTTGGCTTTCTTGTGGAGTAAATAAACTGAGGAATACAATTGTTAACATAAGCAAGAATATTGGAAAGAAGGGATTGAGAGATGAAGATATGATACAAAAGGATAAGAGCCTAAAAGAGGTTTACTTTAGAGCTACAACATTGCTAGTAATGGTAGTGATAAGGCTTTCTTGAATGTATTACCACTAGAGATATTATCACAACACATAGTTTGAAGAGTTGTAAGTGCTACTGGTCCAATTAGTATATGCAATAATCATTAACTGTTGTATCTGATTTGTTGTATGTTCAACTTGATGGCTGCTGAAGTGATAACCAAGCCGAGAGTAATCTTGGTTTCAAAACAACTAAAGCTTCGCTCTGGCTTGATCTTCAATATGGTTATGTTTATCAGTTATCAGATAGTTTCAATTATCCACGTAGCGGTGAGATAAATTGTAGAGTCTAAGGTAGAATTTTGCAATAAAATGAACTGACTTATTTAGTGAAACGTTTCCATTTTGTCGTAAAGGTTACACATCTTTGCATAGATTATCACTACAACAGATCTCAGCTCCTTGAAAATGTTGTTTTAGTATGTCAGCGATTAATTTTAGAACATAAGAAGTAAGCCATTTAAACTATTTTCTAATTTTAGCATAATACTTTCCCATGTCTGAATGGCCATATACTCTCGATCACTTCGACTTTAACTGAAAATAATTAACCATTTGAGCTCAATCAAGTAGCTATTTATAAAACTTATGAAATAAGGAGGATATATTTGTTACCAGAAATAGCAGGGGTAAGCATTCCATCCCCAATTACCAGACAAGTACCAAGAAGAACCACAATCAACAAAGTTGTATTCAAAGTCTTATACTTCTCAAGCAAAAGTAAAAATTGACTCCATGACAATTTTTAAGGGTGATGCAAGTGGAATCTGACTGTAATGAAGTCCGTGATTCAAGTTGTCACTAAAACTTGTCAATGGCCTAGTACCAGAATCTGTCCTCCCAGCGGCAACTGCGAATTGCACGCTCTTCAGCAACAGCATAACGAATGTCATCGTTAAATTGAACCAGATTTTACATGAGAGCTTTAGTCCAAACTAAACAGATCGAACATACAAATGATTACAACAAAACATAGGAATGAAATTGACATACCACTACTGCCTTGATAGCATCTTTCTCGGAATACAACTTCCCCATTCACGGCAAGATAAACATCACATGCATAAACTTCTCAAATGGACCTGATCACAATTAACAACACAGATAAATCCATGCTTCCTTCAATATAGAAATTGATGCTTCTTTCAATATAGGATATGAAGACACCTGAAGGACTTATTGTTGAAGATGCAAACATACTTGTCATATCTTACACCTTCGGCTACCATTGCATCAACAACAACATTTTCCATGACTGATCCTAATTTTGTACAGTTAAGAATACCATCAGATGCTATGTCGAGTTCCTCAAAGTTGAACTAAAAATTAGAATAAACCATGGTACAAGGGAGACTACAGTCGGAATCACCAAGTACAAAATCCGTTTACTTCCTTTAATTGGGATACAATCAGAAAGATGGAATCCTGTGAGAAAATCTAAATAACTCCAGGGATGGAATTTGAAATGGCCGGTTATCTTCTTTCATAATTTGAAAGAAGAGGCTTACAAAACCTTTCAACTTCCCCAAGTACGCAACAGATACACCCTCACCTTCGACATAATCTGACAAGATTTCCACAAACTCATATCTATACTGCTTACGAAATTCTGCATTCATGTACCATTTGATATCCCAATTTTTAAACGAGACCGTGTTTCTCCCTTTCTAGGATAGACTTTAACAGTATTGCAGCCAATCCTATCACACCGAGCTAGATGAGAAAACATCATATGATCTTTAATGATATCAGTGGTACCAAGTTTAAATTTCCCACAAGCCACATGCAATTCCTTATCTACCCACTTGATTTCATCATGTTTTTCTTGATGTGGTTCAAGCCATGTTACCTTTAAATGAAATACAAAGGAGAGAATTTCTCATATTTGTTAGAAGCGGTATAGCGGCAAGCAACAAAAGTTTTGAAAATATTTATTCGGAATTTATTGTATCTACATAGATTGGTTATTGAACTGTCATTCGACAAATCATTTATTAATGAGTTTAGGGATAAATGAGTTTGTAAAGAAAATGTTATTAACAGAAAATAAATGTAAACAAAAGTAAAAACTAAGGAAGAACTTATCAAGCCTGCATATAATCTACTTATCACAGACTTAAATTTATCGACCAGTTACATTCAACCTAACAATACTCATCAATGTCACTACGTATCACTCACAATCTAAGTCATTTTTAACCCAAATTGAGAGACCGACAGTATCACCAAGGAAATGATCTCTCTACCTCCTCAACAATACAGAAGACAACTATGTAATCACACTGACGATCTCTCAGCACAACACATCCCACACAGAGGCATTAAGCTCTGATACCCAAATAGATGTCAACTTTAAATCTATCTCTAGAGTTCAGAAACTAATAGATAATCATCCTAGATAAGAATCTAAGTAGTATATGTCTATAACAACTCAAATCCCTAGCACAAAGCAAAAATCCAGGACAACAATCGACAAAGATTTATAAAGCAAGTGCAATATAACGTCATGGGCGACAAATATACATAAGTTCAGAGTAAAAACATGTACAAACTCAACACATAAAGAATACACAAAGAGAAAGAGAAATGAACCACAAATCTCTCGGTTTGTCAGCGCCGATTGATGAGAAATCTACCCCGGATCATTCGTATGCAAGCTTCAATGTTGTTTTATAAGCTAACCCTATCAAAGAATGAAGTTTGATGGAGTTGGGGTCAAAAATACCCAAAACCATACCAAAAAAAATGTGTTTTTGGCCCTAAATACGCATTCCTGTCTGTCCAGGATCGCCCGGCGACCAAAAACAACGTTTTTCCCATGCTTCAACTCGCCTAGCGTCGCCCAGCGACCAAAATTTTCGCCCGGCGAAAGTTCACAGCAAGTTGAAAAATCAGAACATTATCCTGCATTGTTTCGGCCATAAATTTTGAACCGTAACTCCGATTTGCGCCCAATTCGAAGCGTTGGAAAACTTATTCAATGCTCTTTATAAAAATGACAAAATATAAATCAAATTGATGATTTATTATTCTTTGATTTTGAGCCTTATTCGTTGACGAGTTGCTCAAAATCACGCGTTTGAAGCCGTGTCTTCGACACTTTATTGCTCATACTCCAAATACGCATCAATACCTATAAAATGAATGAAAAACTATCAAACGATACCCTATGTATACAAAAACACAAATAAATACAAACTAAATGTATTTATACAAAAGTCGGATTTATTCAACGATATTAACAATAAAAAGTCGATAAGTGCAACAAAAAGTATATACAAAAATATCTACAATTTACACTTATCAAACTCTCCCCAACTTGAAATATTGTTTGTCCTCAAGCAAAGTCAAATAACATAAAGAACAAAGAATGATAAATCAAAGAATCACGAATCAACAGGTTTTGAAAACGGAAAACAAATGCAGTGGTTCAAATGAAAAACAATACACACGAAGAAACATACTTACCACTAAACTACGACGATAACATAAACATGAAACAAATGCTAAATACAAAGAATATGCCAAACATTCTAAAACAATATTTGGTCACAAATGAATCATACCTAGAAAACGTAATCATCGATAGATGAAAAACACACAAAAATGGGGTATTTTCACTCATCCAACAATCTTGCAAACAATAGACTAAGTTATGCATTCATCCAAAAATTTACATTGAAAATATAAAAGCAAGAATCTCAAGGGCTTTTCAAGGTTGTAATGTGGCTTGGTTAACAAACAAGTGATAAGTCCTAAAGCTAATCGAAACAAAATTTTGCCTAAACATAAGGGAGTAATTACTTCCATAAAGTCTCAAACAATAGAATTTCAATCAAAACTCTTCTTCATCACAAGTTTCACACCAACACACATCACTTATTAACACAACATTATTCCATACTCTTATTTGTTTTTATTTTTCAAAGCTTTTCTAATTTTTTTCCTTTCTTTTTCTATCAATTTTTTTTTCCACATTTTTCTTTCTTTATCTTTCCTTTTTCTATTCAACCTCATAACAATCACAACATAAGTACATAAGCATTCCTCTCCCCAACTTGAATTCAACCATCATCATAATGTGAATACTCCCTACTTTCTAAGGCAAGTAATAATTCAACTATAAATCATAGTTAAGGGTTCAAGAAAATAAGGAATCAATATCCATACAAAAAGGGAAACTAAACACTCATAGACAAGCATTTAGCAAATATAACATGGATATTGACAAAAAGCTCAAAGGGGTTACTAATGATCACACACTCACAAGGTAAATTGACTATTTGACTAGGTAGTTGTGCTCAAAATGGAACAAAAAAATACCTTGATCATGTTCAAGTTTCCATACAATCAACACAAAAAAAGATTAAGCATAATAAAATCCAGTTAAAACAAGAATTGTGGTCTCCAGCATATGTGAACAATGGAAAGCTACCTCACAAAAAGGGTAGGAACTAAAGTGATTCACAAATGAACAAGTATACAAAAGAATGAATGGCATAAAAATTATAAAAAGTCTAAGTATCATGAATATGCTAAAGTATAGAAAGCGATAAACACATACCTCGAACGTGTACAAAACTTTAACAAAATCATTACCATGCATTCGCAAGTCGAAATGATCAAACTTGACAAATCACCTCAATATTCTACAAGTTATCGGACCAAAACTTGAGTCCAAACAACAACAAAAGAATTAGAAAAATAATACTCCTATAAATTTTCAATGTACAAAATTTACAATATATATAATGAAGAAAACTCCTCAAGCTAAACACGACAAGCTTTCGGAAAACACAAATTGACGTAACAAAACAAATACAAGTAATAATATGAAAACCAGATGAAAATGAATTAACAAGTTGAAAAGTGAAGATTTGAAATTCAGAATATTTCCTTGTTTCAACTTGTTAAAACACAAATCACCATACACATAAACAAATACAAACAAACATGCTTGTTTTACGTCGTAAGCTCGACGCCTTTATTGTGCGAGCTAGTAACCTCCTCTCATCATGCCATGGTATTGTCACGCCGCGCAAACCTAAAAAAAGTGTCGTAAAAATCACACAACAAACATTACAAAAAAGAGACAATTCACAACAATACATGAAAAAATATATATGCACAAATATCATATACAAGTTAATGTACAATTTCTATACAACATATACATTAATTATAAAACTCAAAAACAAAGAAATTATCGCAATGCGAAATCCATAGAACCAATCCCCGGCAACGGCGCCATTTTGTTGGAAGCGGTATAGCGACAAGTAACAAAAGTTTTAGAAATATTTATCTGGGAATTTATCGTATCCACAGAGATTGGTTATTGAACTGTCATTCGACAAATCATTTGTTAATGAGTTTGAGGATAAATGGGTTTGTAAAGAAAATGTTATTAACAGAAAATAAATGTAAACAAAAGTAAAAACTAAGGAAGAACTTATCAAGCCTGCATATAATCTACTCATCACAGACTTAAATCTATCGACCATTTACATTCAACCTAACAATACTCATCAATGTCACTACGTATCACTCACAACCTAAGTCATTTCTAACCCAAATTGAGAGACCGACCGTATCACCAAGGAAATGATCTCTCTACCTCCTCAACAACACAGAAGATAACTATGTAATCGCACTGACGATCTCTCAGCACAACACAACCACACAAAGACATTAAGCTCTGATACCCAAGTAGATGTCAGCTCTAAATCTATCTCTAGAGTTCAGAAACTAACAGATAATCATCCTAGATAAGAATCTAAGCAATATATGTCTATAACAACTCAAATCCCTAGCACAAAGCAAAAATCCAGGACAACAATCGACAAAGATTTATAAAGCAAGTTTAATATAACGCCATGGGCGACAAATATACATAAGTTCAGAGTAAATACATGTACAAACTCAACACATAAAGAATACACAAAGAGGAAGAGAAATGAACCACAAATCCCCCGATTTGTCAGCGTCGATTGATGAGAAATCCACCCAAGATCATCCGTATGCAAGCTTCAATGTTGTTTTCTAAGCTAATCCTATCAAAGAATGAAGTTTGATGGAGTTGGGGTCAAAAATACCCAAAACCATACTCAGAAAATGTGTTTTTGGCCATAAATACGCATTTCCGACTGTCCAGGATCGTCCGGCGACCAAAAGTTTTGCCCGGCGACCAAAAACAACATTTTCCCCATGCTACAGCTCGCCTAGCGTAGCCCGGTGACCAAAATTTTCGCCCGGAGAAAGTTAACAGCAAGTTGAAAAATCAACACAATATCCTGTATTGTTTCGACCATAACTTTTGAATCGTAACTCCAATTTGTGCCTGGTTCTAAGCGTTGGAAAAATTATTCAATGCTCTTTATAACAATGACAAAATATAAACCAAATTGATGATTTCTTATTCTTTGATTTTGAGTCTTATTTGTTGACGAGTTGCTCAAAATCGCGCGTTTGAAGTCGTGTCTTCGACACTTTATTGCTCATGCTCCAAATACGCATCAATACCTATAAAATGAATGAGAAAATATCAAACAATACGCTATGTACACAAAAACACAAATAAACACAAACTAAATGTATTTATAGAAAAGTCGGGTTTATTCAACGATGTTAACAATAAAAAGTCGATAAGTGCAACAAAAAGTATATACAAAAATAGCTACGATTTGCAGCTATCAATATTAAAGCGTAGAATCTAGGCACGCCATCTATTGTGTCATATATAGCCCAAATCTGCCCAAGCGCAAAACATTCTTTTTTCTGTCCTTGTCAAAATCGCTGAACTCAACATTGAGA